ATTCAGAAATAAGGGCATCTCTTTTAGTTGTATTTCCCCTCCATGAAGATGTGGCTTCTGCTCAGAGTCATGTGAACCCAAAGTCTGAGAAGTCTCTGCTTTGTGAAGACTCCTATGTTGCTGCATAGTCTGCAAAGATAACATAGTTTCATGCTCTAGTTATTCATCACTGAGATAACTCTTCCTTCTCCCCTTGATGGATAATCATTCCTGCTTCATTTGCTGAAAGGAAGAAGTCTGGTGCGCGCTAGATACAAAAAGAGCTGCCATAATTGACCTTAGTCAAAACAGTCAGTTCAAGCAATATCATTTTCATTTTGTTTTCTCTCAATACCTGGACTTGAAAACATCAAGATCCTCCACAGACAGTTGGACCCAAGTGTTGCATTTCTGAAGTATCTTCAGACCACACACAAGCCAATTCTAGAAGGGGACAGAGCTCACTCACCCTTTTCCTGGGCATTGGTCACTAGCTGCCACCTGGTTGTCCCTTAGCATCTTTTCTGTTCATTCTTGGCTTTACCGCTAGTCCTTGGTGGTAGCGTCTGTCAGCAGGAAGCAGCACCCTTGCAACACCAACACTGTTGGTTTTAGAGAAGAGTAAGTTTTCTTCTTCTGTTCTCTCTATCACTCGCTGTCTGCTAACTCCTTTTCTAAATGCCTTCTAGTTCTGACTGGGAAGGAGGTCAGGATTCTGCATAAAACGTTGTTCACTTGACAGTTTCCTCTCTGGGACTGACCTCCCTCCCAACCCCCATCCACCCTACCTGAAATATGTTCTTCAGATGTTACTCCACTGACCTAGGCACCTAAAGGTAATACAGTCAATGTTGAGTACCGTTTGTTGGTTAACAGCAATCCAGTGTTTTAATGCAGATTTGGAAGTGTCTTTCATAGTGCAAGGGCAGAAGAGACGTGGTTAAGCCCATGAGACCTATTGGAACTGCCTCCAGGGTTTGGAAAAAGAGGTGCCAGCCCACATGGCTCAGACCAGGGGAGAGCTCATTCCTGAAAAGGAAGCCATCAGGTGACAAGTTTGTGCTACTTTTCTTGAGCACACCAGTTCCAGGCAGGTCACTGCAAGCAGGGAAGAAAAAGTAGGGATTCATCAAGGAAGTCATCACAACAGTTCCATTTGGACAACCCAAATGAACCCCAATCTTGGAAGGCCAAACAGCTGCCTCTGCTGAGACTCTTTAAACTCCAACCTGGTGGAACTTGCAGTCGCATGTGGGAGCGAGCCAGGGCGGGAGCATGGCATGCAGAACTCTTTCCTCCTGGTTTTATTTTCTCAGCCACTAGCATGCCTTTGCACTGATGCATGGTGGGAAAGTGGTCCATCCATGGAGCCAGATGGAAGCAACTGGGCAATTCCTTTGACAGGTGACACTAGCCCACTGCCTTCTATGCAAAATGCTGCCTCCCAATTGCATAGACATTACCAGATGGGGATACATGACATTCCAGCTATGGGTTATCTGACAATATGCAGCAGTGCATGGGACCCAGGAGGAGGAAAGCAACCACAGAGTCCATGGGACACTACTGGTTCCTTTAAGTCACTGTGGTACCCACTGCCACATTTGAGTTACCCATTGCTTGTGTGCCATGTATCTGATTTATACCACTTATGCACAGCCCTGGGACTGGCAGAGTGACTGTACTTTTTAAAGGACTGAGAAGGGAAACAGGGAAGTGACTGCCAGTGCTGCAGAGAATACTGGAGCTGGCCAGCAGCAGCAGCAAGGAGTTGGAGAGGCAGGTGGTTTCTGCTGGTGTTCCTGGGTCTGTGTGAAGAGTGATATAAATCCACATCAGGACAGATTCTTGTGTATGATTTGCCTTGATTAATGGGTTTCCTGTTCTTTCCCTGTTTGTCCGTTTGTTTTTTCTCTCCTGTTCCCTGTATTATTTTGTTTGTTTGTTTCTTGCTCTCTGGGAATGCCTCCTTTCCTCTCCTCTCCTCTCCTCTCCTCTCCTCTCCTCTCCTCTCTGCATCTTCCTCCCATCCTGTCCCACTCCTCTTTCTTCCCCTGTCCCACTCCCTTCCCCCTCCATGAGCAGTGGCCGCATCCATTACACTGAGATGTATGAAATGCTGACTCTCATGTCACCACCGCTAGGCCTCGGCAAGAGATGTCCCTCCAAAGTGGCCTATAAGGTAGATCAACCCTTCCTTCCTTCCGGGCTAGTACTGAGCAGGAAATGGGGCAGGAGGGACTTGGGGATGGGGATATGATGTATATTCAGGAAGATCTTATCAGAAATGTCCCACTGCACAAGGAGGTCCAGTGACACCAGCTCCTGGTCTGTGCGTGCCACCCCTACTGTTTCTGGTGAGCTCTGGGTTGGAGCATTCCCCTAATGTTGGGAGAGAGAGCATGCTGGACCGGTGTAAGTGAGGGGATGTGGAAGGATAAGACATTTTCCCCCTCTTGAGTACACTTTTGAAAAGGGACATGGATAGTAGTACCCTAGGACAGCTGCCATAAGTGTGTCAGGGTACTTTCAGAACAAGGCCTCATCCAAAGTTGGGTGAAACTCAAGACTGATCATGCAACTTTGGGTGTGGACAAATGAATCACATCAAAGGGCTGGGAATTTGCCGTGTATCAGCTACTCTGTGTGTACACTGTTTGTTGTAAATGGAAACTAAACCACAGAAACTTTTGCTGAAGGTTTAACTTTCACTTACCATGAGGTAAGAACAAGCCCATGGATGGTTATTGCAGAGCAGCTGACATTTATCCATAGCCTCAGGCACACATCCCTACATGGATCTGAGCCACATATCTCCCATCCAGAATACTTTTCAGAATCTCAGCCACACCTCTTGGAAGTGCTGAAATGTGGAAAGGACAGGCACAGAGCATGTGTCCTGTAGGAGTGGGCCCATAGCTTGCCAGGCTTGGGGTGTTGCTCTAGGTTGAGTTCCCCAGGAATAGTTTCTGCAATACAGAACACAGACACTCTGCTGAGGCTGAGTTGGTGAGAGTCCCATCCCTTTGCCTGCTGAGGCTTGTCCCTCCAAGGGATCCTTTGATTGCTGTGCTGAGACAGTGCTCTGTGCTCCTTTCTTTGGGAGTACACTGTAGAATTTGCTGACTAGTTGCACAGGCTGGATTATATAGGAGGAAGCTCTGTCTGGATAAGGAGCTATGCAGCATGGAGCTTTGGGCAGATCAACCCATGAAGGCATTCAGAGTAGGACACCCTGTTGCAATACTCAGAACAAATCAGGGATAACTGTTAATGTGACTCCCAGATCCAAGCCTGGACCATGTATTTCCAAAGCTACTGGAGAGTCTTCCTGAAAATTGGCTCCTGGCCTTCTCCTAAAAGCTGACTGTGTATTCTTCAGTGATATGCCATGGGTGCTGTCTATGGAGAACTTCTGCATGTGCGCAGTCACATGTAGCTGCTCATATGTAGGTTCACACTCTCACAAGCACACATGCACTCCCCTCCTTACACATGTATATATGCACATGCTTCTGCTAGCATTGTGGCTGGCAAGAGCTTTCTGGTCCATGAAAATAGTGTGCTCAATGCTGAGGAGGGGGAAGGTGTGGGTGGGTATAGAGGAGGGAAAACCTGAGGTATATTTGAAGCGAAATATACTCTCTGAAAAGTGGATCTGGCTACTTCAGTTTGTCCCCTGCCAGGGGGATGGAGCATGACGTGCCCACTCCTGTCTTGATTGCCCTTTTCTCTTTCCATCTGCACTCTTTCTATCCCTTCAACCCTTGGATAAGTTGGATCCTATGCATGTGTGATCATGTGCTGGCAAATTTCATCACTGAAAGACTCAAAAAGGGAGCGCCAGGATGTAACTTGCTAGAGAAGTGACTCAATCAGAAGTCCCTAGTCCCCTGCCCAATGGGAAGGGGTGGGGCCTGGAAAGCAAAGACAATCTGGACTAGGACATGGAGCAGTCCCCCAGGGTTATCTTCCCCTCAGAGACTACTATAGCCCAATCCCTAATTTTCCAGAAACCCATTGAGGAAACACAGGGAGCACCCCTGATGCTCCAGGCCAGGGGATATCTCTGGGGGTATAATATGGGTTCCTGGTGAGCCGAAGGGCAAGCATAGGAAGGCAGTGAGCAGGTGCCCTGAGGGGTGGGAGGGAGGTGGGCTGGGAGGGAGGAGGGTGATCCTTGCCCTTCTTTTTTGGCTGTGCTGTTTTACACTCTCCGTTGCTTTTCTTGGTTTTATTTTTCCCCTCCTGCCTGGTTGATGTGTTTTTCGATATTGTTTTCCGCCCGCTGTCTTTTCTCTCTCTTACACAGAGGCTGGTGCTGATGAACATGCCTGTGGCTGAGGATATGACTGTCCATTTCACCTCCACCTTGATGGCATTGATTCGAACAGCGCTGGACATAAAAATTGCCAAAGGTATCAGTGTAGGTTGAGGGGCTGAGCAGTACGATGTAGGAGTCACTCCTGCAGGCTGGGACCCCTACCCCTCACAGGCTGTTACAGGGTGGGGTGGTGTTTTAATTAGAACGGC